AAAACACCATAACTGATCCAGGGAAAGTTTCTCTTACTGCAATTACTTTGTTACCATTAGAAAGGAGAGGAAATTTATGTTAGCATTTGAACATTTTCTACTTGATCAACAGACCAAGATATAAAGAAATCTCTTTCAATCACAGATAGCTGATATTTTAAGATATATTTTATCCCATTTTCCAGAATTGTTGTTTGCTTAAAAAATGCATGTTGATTTAATCTATATAGCATCACTGTTCATGACACAATAGTTCTGGACTTCCAGGTTCAAATTTACTGTTCAGAGATTTATTTTAATTAATGTTATTGTATTATATTCAAATAAAGCATAACAAATAATACTTCTTGTTTACTTTCCCATATTTACATAACTGAAAACTGACTAACTTCAAAACTAAATTTGGTAAAGGATTAGAACATAATAGCTTTGGAGCACTTTTGACCATTTTTGCATGGGAAAATTTATTATATCTGATTGAGAAAGAATCCAAGGTACTTATGACCCTTATTAATCTAATATCTGAGCACCTCAAAACCTTTAATGAATATAGCCTCACAGCACCCTTCCTCAGATAGGAAAAGACTGTTAGCCCTACTTTACTAATGGGGCACTGAAGCACAAAGAGACTCTAAATAAGTGACTTGCCCAAAGTCACCTAGAAAGTCTAGGGTGCCTTGAACCCAGGTATTCAGAGTCCCTAGCTAGCCCCCTAAACACTGAACCATCAGCCCTATTTTAGAACCAACTGAGTCACCCTTCCCCAGTGCTTGAAGGGTAACTTTTTTCATGCCACCTTTCAAGAGAAATTTTAATTATATGAACCCAGCCTACATGTGTGCTAGTGCCTAACTGCTGCTGAAAAGATGGTAATAACTGTTGCAATCTTTTGATTCAATGATCTGTGAACCATGATGGATTTAGCCAATAATCAGTTGTCTGGAAAATCCATTTTTTAGTGACAGGATAGAGAGTCTGAGTCTGAAACTGTAACACTTTCTTTCAAACCATTGTTTCCTGTGCTCTCAATTTCCATACACATATGTATTAATTTCCTGGGTATGCTATTGACCCAAGAGCTGCACCCATTTACTACAGCTTTTAGAGATTTTTTTTTTAACGGTAACTAAGGCTATACAACATACATCCTTAAAGCACTTTGTCACAGAATGTATCTACTTAGGATATTGATTTTTTTGAATAAAGAAACAATTCGGACTAAAAACCTGTTGTGCCCTTTTTCTACTCTAAGGCCTGTGGGAAGTTCTATTGGAAATACAGTCTCAGCTCCCAGAGTCAGCCTGATGTAGACGTGTGAAAATCTTAATGTTATTTCAACGTGAGGAGGGAGCTGTCCGTGGGCACGTTTTAGAGCCAAGAGAATAATTCCCGTAAATGACATTTAGGCCACAGAATAATCCTGGCAGCGGAGTTTGTGGGATTTTTGCAGATGCGAATGAAAAGAATCAAACAGAAAGCACATGTGGCTGGCTGTAAACAGAAGAGTGCACTGCTCTGAGCTCCTTCTCAGCCTCTCTTCATCGTTCCAGGATCAGCAGAAAGCATCTAATCAGCGATGGGGGGAGAGGAGGGGAGTCAGGTCCTCTCCCCCGATGTAAATTATCCGGTAGCACAACACGATCTGGGACCACACCAGCAGGCAACAGTACCCCCCGCCCGGGGTCCTTTCCCAGCACTTACCTGCCTACCTTCCAGGCTAGGGAAGGAAGGATCTGCCCCCCAGCTCCGGAGGAGCTCAGTGCCTGCTCTAATTGCTCCCCGTTTCAATCCCGTGCGGAGAGCCACAGCTGCGCCGGACTTCAGCACTTCCCCCAGCCCCAGGGAGACTTTTCTTCAGCTGGCATTTAACAAACCTGCCCGGCAACGAACCCAAAGTGCCACGCTCGGCAGGAGAGAGACGCTCCCGCGCTGGGAGCCGCCAGGGCATCCCCAGTTGTGCAACAGAGCGCCTAAAAATATGGATTTGCGTTGAAACCACCGGCTAGGGAGGCAGGCGGGCGGGGGTGGATTTCAGCACTCCGCGGGCAAGATTATGAAGAATCGAAGTATTTTTTAAAAATCCACGACTCCCAACAGCTCAGCTGATGGGAAAGCTCAGTTACACGGCACCAGGTGATAACAGACTGTGGTGGTGGGTTTTAAGGGCGCGCTAAATGCAAATCTGAGCCCACCACGCAGCAGACCTTAAAAACTGGGGGACTTTGGCTTGTCCCAAGCAGAAGCCCCTGTACTCACCAGTCATTCGGTGGAGCAGAGGCGCACAGATGAGCTCCCAGCGGCGATCGAAGTTTCCCTGCTTTGCCCCCTTCCTGACTGACAGCCTCAGGCTTGCAGCCTTTCCAGTCCAAGGAGGGCACCGCGCAGCTAACAATCAGGGAGGAGCAGCTCACACTCCTGTGCCAGCTGGAGAAATGAGCATCGACGCGGAGGGAGGGAGTTACGGGGATGCACCCTCTCTCCCTCTGAAGATCCCACGAAAGCGCTCCAGTTAGCGCCCGGGCGAGTGAATTATATACCCTCCCCTTAACCCTTGAGACAGCGGCGAAGTCAGAACACAGGCCGTACCCATACAGCATGTATCAAGAGGTGGCAGCAGCCATCGGTCCGGGACTTTCCTGTCTGCTCTGACAGTTTCCTTCAATCTGCCCTCTCCGTCCCACCCCCAGCGTGTTATTAAATCCCAGGCTGATTAGGGGCGGGGCTGGATGAAAGGGGCTGTTGCTGGAATTTTTGAATTCCTGTGCTTCTAGGTGACAATGGGAAACTCTAGAAGGTAGAGATTAAAGAGACCAGGAAAAGGTAAAGAGCTGGACCCGCAGGCAACCTGGAGCATGTGCCACACACACACACAAATGGATCTGACCCAGGGATCCTGCCTGAGCCGTCCAATTTTTGGCCCTCGCACCCCAAATTCCATGGCATGAATAGAGAATAAGTTTAGCCATTCCTAACACACACACACACACACACACACACACACACCTGACTCTG